GGACGTGGACGTGGACGTGGACATGGACGTGAACGTGGACGTGGACGTGGACGTGGACCTGTTCGTGGGACGTGGACATGGACGTGGACGTGGACGTGGACCTGGATGTGGCGTGGACGTGGACATGGACGTGGACGTGGACATGGACGTGGACGTGGACCTGGTCGTGTACGTGGACGTGGACGTGGACCTGGACGTGGACAGTGGACGTGGACGTGGACGTGGACATGGACGTAGACGTGGACGTGGACGTGGACATGGACGTGGACGTGGACGTGGACATGGACGTGGACGTGGACATGGACGTGGGACGTGGACATGGACGTGGACGTGGACATGGACGTGGAACGTGGACATGGACGTGGACCGTGGACATGGACGTGGACATGGACGTGGACGTGGACGTGGACATGGACGTGGACGTGGACGTGGGACGTGGACATGGACGTGGACGTGGACATGGACGTGGACGTGGACATGGACGTGGACGTGGACATGGACGTGGACGTGGACATGACGTGGACGTGGACATGGACGTGGACATGGACGATGGACGTGACGTGGACCGTGGACATGGACGTGGACGTGGACATGGACGTGGACGTGAACGTGGACGTGGACATGGACGTGGACGTGGACATGGACCGTGAACGTGGACGTGGACGTGGACGTGTACCTGGTCGTGGACGTGGACGTGGACGTGGACGTGGACGGTGACCTGGACGTGACGTGTGGACGTGGACGTGGACGTGGGACATGGACGTAGAACGTGGACGTGGACGTGGACGTGGACACATGGACGTGGACGTGGACGTGGACATGGACTGGACATGGACGTGGACGTGGACATGGACGTGGACATGGACGTGGACTGGACGTGGACATGGACGTGGACGTGGACATGGACGTGAACGTGGACATGGACGTGGACCTGGTCGTGGACGTGGACGAGGACGTGGACCTGGACCAGGACGTGGACGTGGACGTGGACGTGGACATGGACGGTAGACGTTGACGTGGACGTGGACGTGACGGGACGTGAACATGGACGTGGACATGGACGTGGACGTGGACATGGACGTGGGCATAGACGTGGACGTGGACGTGGACGTGGACGTGGACGTGGACTGGACGTGGACTTGACGTGGAGGTGGACGTGGACGTTGGACGTGGACGTGGACGTGGACGTGGAGATGGACGTGGAACGTGGACGTGGACGTGGACATGGACGTGGACTGGACGTGGACGTGGACATGGACATGGACGTGGAATGGACTGGACGTGGACGTGGACATGGACGTGGACGTGGACATGGACGTGGACGTGGACGTGGAGGACGTGGACCGTGGAGGACTTGGACGTGGACGGTGGGACATGGACGTGGACGTGGACGTAGGACATGGACGTGGAGGACTTGGACGTGGACGTGGACGTGGTCGTGGACGTGGACGTGGACTGGACGTGGTCGTGGACGTGGACGTGGTCGTGGACGTGGACATGGTCGTGGACGTGGACGTGGACGTGGATGTGGACGTGTACGTGGACGTGGACATGGACGTGGACGTGGACGTGGACGTGGACGTGGACATGGACGTGGACATGGACGTGGACATGGACGTGGACGTGGACGTGGACGTGGTCCGTGGACGTGGACGTGGGACATCGACGTGGACGTGGACATGGACGTGGACGTGGGACGTGAACGTGGACGTGGACATGGACATGGACGTGGACGTGGACGTGGACGTGGACGTGGACGTGGACTTGGACATGGACGCTGGCCGTGGACGTGGACGTGGACATGGACGTGGACAGTGGACGTGGACGTGGACGTGGACGTGGACCTGGACGTGGACGTGGACGTGGACGTGGACATGGACGTAGACGTGGACGTGGACTGTGGACATGGACGTGGACGTGGACGTGGACCGTGGACGGTGGACGTGACGTGGACGTGGACGTGGACGTGACGTGGACGTGGACCTGGACGTGGACGTGGACGTGGACGTGGACGTGGACATGGACGTAGACGTGGACGAGGTCGTGGACGTGGACGTGGACGTGGACATGGACGTGGATGTGGACGTGGACGTGGACATGGACGTGGACGTGGACGTGGACATGGACATGGACGTGGACGTGGACGTGGTCGTGGACGTGGACGTGGACGTGGACTTGGACGTGGACGTGGACGTGGACGTGGACGTGGACAATGGACGTGGACGTGGACGTGGACGTGGACGCGGACTGGACATGGACATGGATGTGGACGTGGACGTGACGTGGACGTGGGACGTGGACATGGACGTGGACGTGGACTGGACATGGACATGGACGTGGACGTGGACGTGACCGTGGACGTGGACGTGGAGGATGGACGTGGACATGGACGTGGACGTGGACGTGGACGTGGACGTGGACATGGACGTGGACCTGGATGTGGACGTGGACGTGGACGTGGACATGGACGTGGACATGGACGTGGACGTGGACTAGACGTGGACGTGGACGTGGACGTGGAGGACTTGGATGTGGACATGGACGTGGACGTGGACGTGGACATGGACGGAGGACGTGGACGTGGACATGGACGTGGAGGACTTGGACGTGGACGTGGACATGGTCGTGGACGTGGACCGGGACGTGGACGTAGACGTGGACGTGGACGTGGTCGTGGACGTGGACATGGTCGTGGACGTGGACTGTGGACGTGGATGTGGACGTGGACCGTGGACGTGGACGTGGACGTGGACCATGGACGTGGACGTGGACGTGGACGTGGACGTGGACATGGACGTGGACATGGACGTGGACGTGGACGTGGACGTGGACATGGTCGTGGACTGTGGACGTGGACGTGGACGTGGACGTGGACTGTGGACGTGGACGTGGACGTGGACATGGACGTGGACGTGGACCTAGACCTGGACGTGGACATGGACGTGGACATGGACGTGGGACGTGGACGTGGACGTGGACATGGACGTGGACTGTGGACATGGACGTGGACGTGGACGTGGACGTGGACGTGGACATGGAGGTGGACGTGGACATGGACGTGAACGTGGACGTGGACGTGGACGTGGACCTGGTCGTGGACGTGGACATGGACGTGGACGTGGACGTGGACCTGGACGTGGACGTGGACGTGGACATGGACGTGGACGTGGACGTGGACATGGACATGGACGTGGACGTGGACGTGGACGTGGACCTGGACGTGGACTTGGACGTGGACATGGACGTGGACGTGGACATAGACATGGACGTGGATGTGGACGTGGACATGGACGTGGACGTGGACATGGACGTGAACGTGGACGTGGACGTGGACGTGGACCTGGTCGTGGACGTGGACGTGGACGTGGACGTGGACCTGGACGTGGATGTGGACGTGGACGTGGACGTGGACATGGACGTAGACGTGGACGTGGACGTGGACATGGACGTGGGCATAGACGTGGACATGGACCGTGGACGTGGACATGGACGTGGACGTGGACATGGACGTGGACGTGGACATGGACGTGGACGTGGACTATGGACGTGAACGTGGACGTGGACGTGGACGTGGACCTGGTCGTGGACGTGGACATGGACGTGGACGTGGACGTGACCTGGACGTAGACGTGGACGTGGACATGGACGTGGACGTGGACATGGACGTGGACGTGGACCTGGTCGTGGAACGTGGACGTGGACGTGGACCTGGACGTGGACGTGGACGTGGACGTGGACGTGGACATGGACGTAGACGTGGACGTGGACGTGGACATGGACGTGGACGTCGGACGTGGACATGGACGTGGACGTGGACGTGGACGTGGACGTGGACATGGACGTGGACGTTGGACATGGACCGTGGACGTGGACATGGACGTGGACGTGGACATGGACGTGGACATGGACTGTGGACGTGGACGTGGACTGGTGGACATGGACGGTGGACGTGGACGTGGACGTGGACGTGGACACGTGGACGTGGACATGGACGTGGACGTGGACATGGACGTGGACATGGACGTGGACGTGGACGTGGACGTGGACATGGACGTGGACGTGGACATGGACGTGGACGTGGACGTGGACGTGGACATGGACGTGGACGTGGACATGGACGTGAACGTGGACGTGGACGTGGACGTGGACCTGGTCGTGGACGTGGACGTGGACGTGGACGTGGACCTGGACGTGGACGTGGACGTGGACGTGGACGTGGACGTGGACGTGGACATGGACGTAGACGTGGACGTGGACGTGGACGTGGACATGGACGTGGACGTGGACGTGGACATGGACGTGGACATGGACGTGGACGTGGACATGGACGTGGACATGGACGTGGACGTGGACGTGGACATGGACGTGGACGTGGACATGGACGTGAACGTGGACATGGACGTGGACCTGGTCGTGGACGTTGACGAGGACGTGGACCTGGACCAGGACGTGGACGTGGACGTGGACGTGGACGTGGACATGGACGTAGACGTTGACGTGGACGTGGACGTGGACGTGGACATGGACGTGGACATGGACGTGGACGTGGACATGGACGTGGGCATAGACGTGGACGTGGACGTGGACGTGGACATGGACGTGGACGTGGACGTGGACTGGACGTGGACGTGGACGTGGAGGTGGACGTGGACGTGGACGTGGACGTGGAGATGGACGTGGACGTGGACGTGGACGTGGACATGGACGTGGACGTGGACGTGGACGTGGACGTGGACATGGACATGGACGTGGAAGTGGACGTGGACGTGGACGTGGACATGGACGTGGACGTGGACATGGACGTGGACGTGGACGTGGAGGACGTGGACGTGGAGGACTTGGACGTGGACGTGGACATGGACGTGGACGTGGACGTGGACATGGACGTGGAGGACTTGGACGTGGACGTGGACGTGGTCGTGGACGTGGACGTGGACGTGGACGTGGTCGTGGACGTGGACGTGGTCGTGGACGTGGACATGGTCGTGGACGTGGACGTGGATGTGGACGTGTACGTGGACGTGGACATGGACGTGGACGTGGACGTGGACATGGACGTGGACATGGACGTGGACATGGACGTGGACGTGGACGTGGACGTGGTTGTGGACGTGGACGTGGACATCGACGTGGACGTGGACATGGACGTGGACGTGGACGTGGACGTGGACATGGACATGGACGTGGACGTGGACGTGGACGTGGACGTGGACTTGGACATGGACGTGGCCGTGGACGTGGACGTGGACATGGACGTGGACGTGGACGTGGACGTGGACGTGGACGAGGTCGTGGACGTGGACGTGGACGTGGACATGGACGTGGATGTGGACGTGGACGTGGACATGGACGTGGACGTGGACGTGGACGTGGACATGGACATGGACATGGACGTGGACGTGGACGTGGACGTGGTCGTGGACGTGGACGTGGACGTGGACTTGGACGTGGACGTGGACGTGGACGTGGACGTGGACATGGACGTGGACGTGGACGTGGACGTGGACGTGGACTGGACATGGACATGGACGTGGACGTGGACGTGGACGTGGACGTGGACATGGACGTGGATGTGGACGTGGACGTGGACATGGACGTGGACGTGGACGTGGACTTGGACGTGGACGTCGACATGGACGTGGACGTGGACGTGGACGTGGACGTGGACGTGGACATGGACGTGGACGTGGACGTGGACGTGGACGTAGACATGGACGTGGACGTGGACGTGGATGTGGACGTGGACGTGGACGTGGACATGGACATGGACGTGGACGTGGACGTGGACATGGACGTGGATGTGGACATGGACGTGGACGTGGACTTGGACGTGGAGGACTTGGACGTAGACATGGACGTGGACATGGACGTGGACGTGGACATGGACGTGGACGTGGACGTGGACGTGGACATGGACGTGAACGTGGACGTGGACGTGGACATGGACGTGGACGTAGACGTGGACGTGGACATGGACGTGGACGTGGACGTGGACATGGACGTGGACATGGACGTGGACGTGGACGTGGACGTGGACGTGGACGTGGACGTGGACGTGGTCGTAGACGTGGACGTGGACGTGGACGTGGACGTGGACATGGATATGGACGTGGACGTGGACGTGGACATGCACGCGGACGTGGACGTGGACGTGGATGTGGACAGGGACGTGGTCGTGGACGTGGACATGGACATGGACATGGACATGGACGTGGACGTGGACGTGGACGTGGACATGGACATGGACATGGACGTGGACGTGGACGTGGACGTGGACGTGGACATGGACGTGGACGTGGACCTGGACGTGGACGTGGACCTGGACGTGGACGTGGACGTGGACGTGGACATGGACGTGGACCTGGACGTGGACGTGGACGTGGACGTGGACGTGGACATGGACGTGGATGTGGACCTGGTCGTAGACGTGGACGTTGACGTGGACGTGGACGTTGACGTGGACATGGACATGGACGTGGACGTGGACGTTGACGTGGACATGGACGTGGACGTGGACGTGGACGTGGACCTGGACGTGGACGTGGACGTGGACGTGGAAGTGGACATGGACGTGGACCTGGACGTGGACGTGGACGTGGACGTGGAAGTGGACATGGACGTGGACCTGGACGTGGACGTGGACGTGGACATGGACGTGGATGTGGACCTGGTCGTAGACGTGGACGTTGACGTGGACGTGGACGTTGACGTGGACATGGACGTGGACGTGGATGTGGAGGACTTGGACGTGGACATAGACGTGGACGTGGACGTGGACATGGACGTGGGCGTGGACGTGGACTGGACGTGGACGTGGACGTGGAGGTGGACGTGGACGTGGACGTGGACGTGGACGTGGACGTGGAGATGGACGTGGACGTGGACGTGGACGTGGACATGGACGTGGACGTGGACGTGGACGTGGACGTGGACATGGACATGGACGTGGAAGTGGACGTGGACGTGGACGTGGACATGGACGTGGACGTGGACATGGACGTGGACGTGGACGTGGAGGACGTGGACGTGGAGGACTTGGACGTGGACGTGGACATGGACGTGGACGTGGACGTGGACATGGACGTGGAGGACTTGGACGTGGACGTGGACGTGGTCGTGGACGTGGACGTGGACGTGGTCGTGGACGTGGACGTGGACGTGGTCGTGGACGTGGACATGGTCGTGGACGTGGACGTGGACGTGGATGTGGACGTGTACGTGGACGTGGACATGGACGTGGACGTAGACGTGGACGTGGACGTGGACATGGACGTGGACATGGACGTGGACATGGACGTGGACGTGGACGTGGACGTGGTCGTGGACGTGGACGTGGACATCGACGTGGACATGGACATGGACGTGGACGTGGACGTGGACGTGGACGTGGACATGGACATGGACGTGGACGTGGACGTGGACGTGGACGTGGACGTGGACTTGGACATGGACGTGGCCGTAGAAGTGGACGTGGACCATGGACGTGGACGTGGACGTGGACGTGGACGTGGACGTGGACGAGGTCGTGGACGTGGACGTGGACGTGGACATGGACGTGGATGTGGACGTGGACTTGGACATGGACGTGGACGTGGACGTGGACGTGGACATGGACATGGACATGGACGTGGACGTGGACGTGGTCGTGGACGTGGATGTGGACGTGGACTTGGACGTGGACGTGGACGTCGACGTGGACGTGGACGTGGACGTGGACATGGACGTGGACGTGGACGTGGACGTGGGACGTGGACATGGACGTGGACGTGGACGTGGACCTGGACGTGGACGTGGACGTGGACCTGGACGTGGACGTGGACGTGGACGTGGACGTGGACGTGGACGTGGACGTGGACGTGGACATGGACGTGGACGTGGACGTGGACGTGGACGTGGACGTGGACGTGGACGTGGACTGGACATGGACATGGACGTGGACGTGGACGTGGACGTGGACGTGGACGTGGACAGTGGACGTGGACGTGGACGTGGACATGGACGTGGACGTGGACGTGGACGTGGACTTGGACGTGGACGTCGACGTCGACGTCGACGTGGACGTGGGACATGGACGTGGACGTGGACGTGGACGTGGAGGTGGAGGTGGACGTGGACATGGACATGGACGTGGACGTGGACGTGGACGTAGACATGGACGTGGACGTGGACGTGGACGTGGATGTGGACGTGGACGTGACGTGGACCATGGACATGGACGTGGACGTGGACGTGGACATGGACGTGGATGTGGACATGGACGTGGACGTGGACTTGGACGTGGAGGACTTGGACGTAGACGTGGACGTGGACATGGACGTGGACGTGGACATGGACGTGGACGTGGACGTGGACATGGACGTGAACGTGGACGTGGACGTGGACATGGACGTGGACGTGGACGTGGACGTGGACATGGACGTGGACGTGGACATGGACGTGGACATGGACGTGGACGTGGACGTGGACGTGGACGTGGACGTTGTCGTGGACGTGGACGTGGACGTGGACGTGGACATGGACGTGGACGTGGACGTGGACGTGGATGTGGACATGCACGCGGATGTGGACGTGGACGTGGATGTGGACAGGGACGTGGTCGTGGACGTGGACATGGACATGGACATGGACATGGACATGGACGTGGACGTGGACGTGGACGTGGACATGGACATGGACATGGACATGGACGTGGACGTGGACGTGGACGTGGACGTGGACATGGACGTGGACGTGGACGTGGAGGTGGACGTGGACGTGGACGTGGACGTGGACATGGACGTGGACCTGGACGTGGACGTGGACGTGGACGTGGACATGGACGTGGATGTGGACCTGGTCGTAGACGTGGACGTTGACGTGGACGTGGACGTTGACGTGGACATGGACGTGGACGTGGACGTGGAGGACTTGGACGTGGACATGGACGTGGACGTGGACGTGGACGTGGACATGGACGTGGACGTGGACGTGGACGTGGAGGACTTGGACGAGGAGTTGGACGTGGACGTGGACGTGGACGTGGTCGTGGACTTGGACGTGGACGTGGACGTGGACGTGGACATAGACGTGGACGTGGACTTGGACGTGGACGTGGACGTGGACGTGGACGTGGACATGGACGTGGACGTGGACGTGGACGTGGACGTGGACGTGGAGGTGGACGTGGACATGGACGTGGACGTGGACGTGGACGTGGACTTGGACGTGGACGTGGACGTGGACGTGGACGTTGACGTTGACGTGGACATGGACGTGGAGGTGGACGTGGACATGGACGTGGAGGTGGACGGGGACGTGGACGCGGACGGGGACATGGACGTGGACAGGGACGGGGACGAGGACGCAGATGCAGACGTGGACAAGGACGCGGACGTGGACGAGGACACGGACGCGGACGTGGACGTGGACGCGGACGCGGACGAGGACGCGGACGCGGACGTGGACAGGGACGTGGACGTGGACGCGGACATGGACGCGGACGTGGACAGGGACGGGGATGTGGACGCGGACGTGGACGCGGACGCGGACGTGGACGCGGACGGTGACGTGGACGCAGACGCGGGCGTGGATGCGGACGTGGACGGCGTGGACGCGGACGCGGACGCGGACGCGGACGTGGTCGTGGACGCGGACGCGGACGTGGACGCGGACGCGGACGCGGACGTGGACGCGGACGCGGACGTGGACGTGGACGTGGACGTGGACTGGACGTGGACTGGACGTGGACGCGGACGCGGACGGGGACGCGGACGGGGACGCGGACGCGGACGCGGACGCGGACGCGGACGTGGACGCGGACGTGGACGCGGACGAGGACGCGGACGAGGACGTGGACGTGGACTGGACGTGGACGTGGACGTGGACGTGGACGTGGTCGTGGACGTGGACGTGGACGTGGACGTGGACGTGGACGTGGACTTGGACGTGGACGTGGTCGTGGACGTGGACGTGGACGTGGTCGTGGATGTGGTCGTGGATGTGGTCGTGGAGGTGGACGTGGAGGTGGACGTGGAGGTGGAGGTGGACGTGGAGGTGGACGTGGACGTGGACGTGGACGTGGAGGTGGACGTGGACGTGGACGTGGACGTGGACGTGGAGGTGGACGTGGACGTGGACATGGACGTGGACGTGGACATGGACGTGGACGTGGACGTGGACGTGGACGTGGACGAGGTCGTGGACGTGGACGTGGACGTGGACATGGACGTGGATGTGGACCAGGCAAGCTCCTGGACCACGCAAGCCCGTGGACAAGGCAAGATCCTGGACCACGCAAGCTCCTAGACCATGCAAGCTCTTGGACCAGGCACACTCCTGGACCATGCAAGCTCTTGGACCGGGCAGGCTTCTGGACCAAGCAAGCTTTTGTACCAGGCAAGCTCCTGGACCAGGCAAGGTCCTGGACCACAAGCTTGCATGGTCCAGGATCTTGCTTGGTCCACGAGCTTGCCTGGTCCAGGAGCTTGCCTGGTCCTAGAGCTTGCCTGGTCCAAGAGCTTGCCTGGTCCACGAGCTTGCCTGGTCCAGGAGCTTGAGCACCTAGCACCTAGAGCAGCAGCCGCACCTGTACCTGGAGCAGGAGACACACTAGCACCAAGAGCAGCAGCCGCACCAGCAGCCAGAGCAGCAGGCTCTATATCCGGGTCAGGCGGTATGAACAGGTGACCGGCACGGTCAGCACTAGTAGGCAATGCATACATGGCAGTGA